TGTATCAAACCAACGATGGACTCATATATACCATATTGCCATCAGTCATCGTTGGAGAGGCCCGATAGAAGACTGTCACTCGTTCTAAAGTACATGTTTAGACTCCGATCATGCTCTAATACGAGCACGCATTTGCTTGTGCCTCACTGGATGCAGAAAAGGCACATTAGGAAGACCCACTAGAATTGAACTGAGTGACGAGAAAGCCAAAAGTAGATTTCAGGAACAACTGAGGTCACACTTAGGTAGCTCCAGAGGTCTTTAAGGATGTTGGTCCAATTTTGGCGACTAGGTTGACTAATATTTTGGCTAAAATCTGGGAGTTAGACATAATCCCATCTGACTGGTCACAATCACTTATCGTTCCAATATATAAGAGAGGGTCAAAATCATCCTGTGACAACAATAAAGGGCCTGGTTTGACTAACATAGCATCTTCAATACTAGCCTCAATAATTATCGGCCGCCTAACTAAGACTCGTGAACTGCAAACACGAGAAAATCAGGTTGACTTCGAACCTGGTCGTTATTGCATCGATCACATATTCACCGTTCGTCAGGTTCTAGAATAAAGGCATGCCTATCGGCGTCCGACAATGGTGGTCTTTATTGACTTAAAAGCAGCATTCGACTCTGTAGACCGATAGGTTCTGTGGCAGTGTCTGTCATTGAAAGGTGTACCTCGGAAGTACACAAACCTTGTGAAGGATCTCTACTCGAACACTACTGGTCGAGTGAGAGCTTATGGCGAACTGTCTTCTGATTTTGCAACCTCAAGTGGTATCCGGCAAGGCTGTCCACTTTCTCCATTTTTGCTCAACTTCATCATAGACCTACTGATGAAAATAACGTTCTCGTCGACTAAATTTTCCGGCGTCGTACTCCCACCAGGAGGTTCACTTATAGACTTAGAATACGCAGATGACATAGTCTTGTTTGGAGAAGACGCTGATAAAATGCAGTTTTTCGATAGCACTGAGCAATAATGCCAGAATGTTTGGGATGCGCTTCTCCCCGTCTAAATGCTGCTGCTGTTGCTCCAGGACTTATCTGTGTCAACACCTGAACTAAGGATAAGGAGTGAAGTAGTCGAACGCGTTGATAATTTCATTTATCTTACAAGTCTGATCAGCCCTAATGGGTTGGGGTAAGTAACAGTGAGGTTCGACGCAGGGTATTAGGGAACGATGGTAAATCAGTTGATGATGTTGTGAATCTTCATCGACTGAGATGTTTGGGCCACGTGTTACGTATGCCTGAACACCAATTACCACGACGTGCAATGCTAACCGGTGTTCGGGATGGTTGGAAGAAAGTTAGGGGCGGCCAAATTAAAACTTGGCATCAGTGCTTGAAGTCACTAACTTCTAGTCTGAGCCATGTTAGTAGATGCAGACTACTTGGTTGGAGTCCGTGTGACTATCGTAACTAATGGTCGGAGACTCTTGGTGACATGGCTCAGAATCGACGACATTGGCGTAGGCGTATACACTCTCTGTCTTCCCTTAAACTATGAGATTAAAATCACTTCATATCTTTCTTTGTACGAACTAATTATTTCTTCCTGTACTATATCGTCATATGCAATCTTTCTTTTATATACTACCACCATTGAATTAGCTAATTCTATGAATCCATTGTTTGTCTTTCTGTGCTAATGAGGTATGGCAACTTGGATCGATGCAAATGTATGCCTGGTCCTACGTTGTAGCTGACTGACCGACTGACGATAGTCGTGATCGGTGGTTGGGGACCTAAGTTGGAATCTTTATATTATGCTGCTAGACACTCCATCCAATAGTATCTTGGAGAAAAAATAGACACATAAAATGACATAAGACTCATATTTAAATATTGGAAATGAATTATGAGTTGTGAATGTTCGTCAGAAGTTGATGAAAACCTAGACTGCAACTTCATCCTACTCCTAAACTTGACTCATATTCAGGTTCCTCCGATTATTTAGTCTTTTTGGGGTTGCTACTACTAATGTAATCAGTAGTAAGTTGTGTTTTCTAAATTTGGATTTGTTGATTATTTACGTCTGATGGTTTGGTACACAAGTCCATTGTCTAATACATCTCTAACTTTTTTCAGTGATATATATAGACAGGCTCGACCACTGTTTTAATGTATCAACTGTAGTCAGGTGCATAACGATTTATAGTATGTGTCTTTGTATTTGGGGAGTATGTATTGATTTTATGTGTGAACTCCATATACTTGATTTCAGTGCATTTTTCATTGTATAAATTCCTTTTCTGTTGCTCTGGATTCAAGTGACACTTGTTCAGTTTGTTCATGTTTGTAAATAATTATGACAATTTAATTGATATATAGCTGAATGGACACGATTGTAATTCGAAATCTTCTAAGCTCTTGACCATATAGATCTTCCTTACAAGGTATGTGCTTGAAGGTAATCGAGGCTAAGAGAGAAACTAGAAGTCATATCCTAGTTTAAAGTGTCGTTAGATTAGTAGTTGTTACCATGAAACAAATCACTTTGTCTAAGAAACTTAATGCCATACTATATTAATTGTTTCTCTTCTCAAAAGTTGCAGAGAATAGTTATGTGTTTTCTGTATGTGTTGTCTATAATAAAACGGGGAATTGTCCTATTAACATCAATTATTCATAAAATTAGATTGTCCTGTCCTGTGGGAAGCTGGTAAAGAAACCTGTTCACAGAGAAGGCTTTGGTAATTCATCGATTCAAGCCTGATCTTTATGTTCGGAAACTATATATTCAATCCCTTAGTTTACCACAGTCTTATTACCCACCTCTTTTTATCCTATTAGTTATTTCTTGACACCTGTTTGTTTTCTCTTCACCTTCCTATATATTCTTGAACCAAACAATCAACTTTTACTTATCTGTCCTATATCGTATTTTGTTGATTATTTTCTATTTGTTCTTTTATTATCGTCAAGTAGACGATATTTCATATCGCGCTTCTATACTCTATTTCATTCTTACTGTTACCCTTTGACAATGAGATGATGTTAAATTTTCGTAAATTTTTAGTACTTCTGTTAATAAATATGATTGTACACCTTCATTAAGATTGGTATAGTTTGTAATTCAATAAATAACAAATTATATAATAGAAGATTAGGTTATCTATCTAAATAGATTATCTATTCTCGTTTATGCCTATACATTGTTTCGTATTTATGTTACAAATCGCTTATTTGTAGTAGTTCACTCTTTTCTTGACTTTGTTTTTCCAATAGCAACATGTACGGAACGAACACTTGATGAATATTTAGAAGCAGCTGTACTAAATCATCAAACAAAATCTGATCGTGTCACTCGTATTCCAATTGGAAGTGTATTGAATGATGACAAAGAGTCAAGTTCAGTAACATCTGCTGTTCATAAATCGAAATCCCTAAGTTCATCGTCATCAGCCTATAATGTTCAATATTCTCCGCCACGACAACAACAACCACGTGCTATTCATCCTTATCCATCAAGACTTACGTCTTTTGCTGATCCTGAAGATTCAACTATCCAAATAGCTTTACCGCCAAATATAATTTATGCAGGTGGTTAGTTCTGTCATTTTATCAGCGATTAAGGATGCTTGTTAGTACGATTCTGATGTTATACGTCAGTGAGTATTACTAATAATAATGATACTAATACTTAACCAAGAGCACTACTTTTCAACTTATTTTCCTACCCATGTACTTTTATTTTAATTTTTTTGTGCAAATGAATTTGTCTTTCTCTTTGAATATTTATTTATTTTTTGAGAATAATGTTCTGAATTTCTTTTTTACTGATCTCGTTTATTTGTTGTTCTTCTTTTGACTTGCTTTTGATTTTGCTTGTCGTTTGAATTTGTATTTGTATCTGCAAAAATACATATGTACACATTATTATTATTATTATTATTATCATTATTATTATTATTAATGTACAGAGGAGTGTACTCAGAAATAAAAGTTAGTTTGAAGGGAGGAAAAGTGTAAAATTGTTGCTTTTCCCTTCGTTTTCACTTCTCTGTCTGGTTATTTTTCTTGTTAAATCTCACGAATGTGAAATGAATCTAGTTAACACCTACTTGCGTTTATCCATTCTTTTGTTAAATGTGAGTTATGATGTGCAAGTTTAATTTCACGCCATTCTCAATTAGTGTTTGAATAGAAGCAACACAATAATAGTAGTATATTGAGTGAATTTGCATTCCCCCCCCCACTATTTTGCCTTTGTTTTGAATCAAGTTAGTCGTTTAACCTTAATATCAGTATTTTTTTACACAAAAAACTAATTGTAGATCGTTAGCACATTGTATTTATGCTTAAGAATCTTCAGTCAATCTATAATACAGTGTAAGATAGATTAGTTTCAGTTGCTTCATTTGTTAACTGTATCTAATGCGGAAAATAATTAATTTGAGAGCGATAAATACTTTTAGAAATGAGTTTGAATTTTTCCATCATCGGAATCGAGGTATATCCAGTTGGCGAATCCCTTTGCTCTTGTGCACAAAATGTGTGTATATTTAAATATTCCAGAATATGGTTAATTTTGAGCTCTATCATCAGAATATCCAACATGAATTCTCATAATCCCTAATTATAGATTACTATTTAGTACCCTTAACAATCCCGATATGCCATATTGTCAACTGACTACCGTTTTTTGGTGTCTTATCTAGATGATTCCTTGTTGTTAGTGATATGTTCTTGCTCCAGTATGCAGCCTCATTAAATTCTTGTTTATCAATGTTTAGCGAAATTAAATTTAAATTTGCGCTTGTTTTGTCGCTGGATGGATGACAAGTAGGCATGCGATCGAACTATAATAATTCCAAATGAATAACGTTTTAGTTACATAGGAAAACTAATTGAACAAATGCTGATATCTTGTTATTGTTTATGTTCAAGATAGTGCAATTGCTAACGTCAACAGTTCTTTTTTTGTTGTTTAAGATTTGAAATTATTTCAATGCAATAATACGGTTAACAGAAACTGCTGAACCATACTGATGCCTAATATAAAAGGATCTATCGAAAATTTACGTCGTCAACTACGTTCAATTCGATTTAGTTATGATGTCAATTTTCAAGGGTAAGTTCTGGTTATAGTTTCACATAGATTACATTTACTGTGAATACTTTGAAGATGTCCTCAATAGGATCAGTCTATTTATCATTCCTCTCCTGTTAAATACTTTGTACTATATATATATATATATATATATATATATATTAATATATATATATATATATATATATATATATATATATATATATATATATATATAATATTTGAGATTCTATGTTGTTTATCTGTATAGTATTCCATAATACGACATCATGATATATCGATTAGAGAATGTTGAGTTCCTCTGACTACATCCCAATTCAAAAATAAAGTACATGTTAATGTAAAATCGCCTTTGACTCATACTTTTCATGATAATGCTATTGATACTATCCACCTAACCGAAATGATACAGACAAAGAAAAGTCTAAATCTACGGCCCATCGTTTGAAAATCGAGTACGCTTACCTATGGCTTTACCTAGATAAATTAATGAACTGTTGCATTACATCATTAATTAATTTAGGCTGATAGTATTAAATATTGGCCTCACATCTGTTACCACAACTGAAAGACTTATATCTCGTATGGGGTCTCAAAAAGAATTATATGTGCTTGTTTTATATTAGTAGGCTTATCTATTTATCTGCGGTTTTCAATGTCTGTTCAAACGATACCACTCCATCACTAAGAATATCCTTGCAACATCGAGAATCGACTGAAGTTTGAAGTGTAAAACGTTAGATGCTATTTCAGTGGGCCTGTAGGTTAAGCTTTACTTAGAATTTACTTACACCTGTTGCTCCCAATGGAGCATTGGCCGCAGACCAGCATTTTCCAACCCACTCTGTCCTGGGCCTTCCTTTCTAGTTCTATCCAATTGTTGTTCATACAGTATAAATGTCTTGACATTTGTATTGAAAATCCTAACCTTGGTGTTGGTTGACAGTTGTTTTGAGTTCCAGATGTTTTTCATTTGTAAATTTATTTATTTATTTATTTAAACACATAAACATTGGTACAAGGAGGCACCAAATAGATATGCGCCACATAAATCATTCGATTTGTGTGAGGGCTGTGATGCTGCTCGGGTGCCCAGACCGAAGCAGTTGGTTATCTTAGGGGGCCATTCCCCGAGCCTTTGACCTGAAGGTCTGACCCACAAGGCAGTGGAGCATCGTGAGGAGATGCAGTCCCATGGAAGCTGGTGACCAACAATTGGTTCATACGCCATTTGTTCCCGCAGGATACTGGAGCCCACGTGCACCATATGTTTGGAATCCGGTTAAAGCTCCGGATATTCGCTTTTCGTCCTCTCAATTTCGTAAACAACACCCCCGCCACGAGAAGGCAGTGAGTAGGACTTCCCTGGCAGAGGCTGTATACACGTGGCTGTGTGCGAGCATTTCGAGAGGGAGGGCGGGCCCATCCTACTCTCGGCCATACTAAGGTCTTTGAGGACAAACCTGGGAGCACTGGACGGCCGTTTCGTCCTATTGTGGGACTCCTCAGCAGTGCGCATCCACGACCCCGCCTCGCGGGATTCGAACCCAGGGTCTATCAGTTTCGCGCCAGTCGCCTAACCGACTAAACCACTGACCTTGCTCTTGCCTTGCCGATCACCGCCTTCATATCTGTATCAGGTCGACCGTGTTCATCAATGATGCTGCCCAGACATGTAAATGTTTTTACATCTTCCGAATCTTCTCCGTCAATTGTGATTGGATTGGCGCATTCTGTGTTGTATCAGAAAATCCTGCTTTTCCCTTTGTGTATATTGAGACCTACTGCTGCTGAGGCTGCTGCCACACTGTTCGTGTTCTCCTGCATTTGTTGTTGCGCTTGGGATAGAAGAACCAGATCATCTGGGTAATCCAGATCGTCCAGCTGCTTCCTAGCTGTTCACTGTATCCCATGCTTCCCCCCAGATGTTGACCTCTTCATGATCCAGTCGATCATTAGGAGAAAGAGAAAGGGTAAGAGTAAGCAGCCTTGCCTGACACCGGTTTTTACTTCAAACGACTCTGTCAGCTGTCCTCCATGCACGATTTTGCAGTTTAATCTATCATAGGAATTTCGTATGATATTTTCTATCTTCTGAGGCACGCCGTAGTATCGAAGAAGCCTCCATAATGTTGTCCTGTCCACGCTATCAAATGCCTTTTCGTAGTCAATGAAGTTGCTGTTGAGTGATGAATTCCATTCAGTTGATTGTTCCACAATGATCCGTAGTGTTGCGATTTGGTCTGTACACGATCAATCCTTACGGAATCCAGCCTGTTGGTCTAGAAGTTGGGTGTCTACGGAGTCCTTCATTTTGTTTAATAATACCCTGTTGAAGACTTTTCCTAGTATTGAGAGAAGAGTGATGCCTCTGTAGTTATCACACTTGCTGAGATCGCTTTTCTTTGATATTTTGATCTGAATTCGTTCTTTCCAGTCTGTTGGTACTTGTTCTTCATCACAAAATTTAATAAAGAGAATGTTGAGTGTCTTTGTAGTTGCTGCTACATCTGCCTTCAGTGCCTCTACTGGAATGTTGTCTAGTCCCGCTGCTTTACCGTTCTTGATTTGTCTGATCCTTAAGTACTAGCCGAAATTCCCTAAGATCATGGGGTTCAATCGTTGGTGGAGTTTTGAATTTACACTTCCAAGGTGTCCCGTACTAAAACGAAATAGCTGTCTACTACTCCCTAGTTTTCAGCAGTTTTTTAATTAAAATCAGTCCATGATTTAATATTTCAAATACATAGCATTCGATTTGACCATTAATAACTAGAAAATAATTACGCTTAACAGTCGAGTGAGTTATATTTTACCGATGCTATACATAGATACATGTTTACTTGTTTATTTTAGTATGGTGTTGGGTCAGTCATCTGCATTTGTTGAATTTTATCGGCGTTTACTCTGTGATTATAATGCAAAAGTCACCAGTTACCTCGTTGAACTTGGATTTGGAATGCTCGGTATGATTTTACAATACGTTAATACATCCATTATTACCATTAATAAATTCATTTATGTTTTCTTCTTGTCAAATACGACACTATGTGTGTAGATATTATCTTGAGTGCATATTCTTGTGAAGTTATTTTTCCGTTTTTGAATTGGATTAAATTTTAAAAAATACTATACTAGACTGGATTTCATGTACTTTTAGAAAATCCTAAACCTAGACAAAACCAGTGTCAGCGGAATTTCTCTCAACGCAAACTCATAACAAGTAAATCACGGTACTCCTTATATAATTATCACATATATGACTTAGTGATTGAAAAATTTAACTTCAGACTATTCAGCCTCAGGCTTGAAAACAGCTTCACCTCATTTCAGGAAGATGAGTAGTATCGTTAGGCTTCACACACAAAACTTTCTGTTCGTACCCAGGTAAATAAATTTGTACTAGGCAAATAATACATTCAATTTTACCAAGTATTATCCATAATTATCACTTCATTCATTTTTTTCTTGATTCGTCATATATGTATATAAATTCAGGCACAACAGACAGCAGATTTATGGAAGTGCTTTATCGTATTCTTCGAGATGTTTTCTCTTATCGACCATCGATTACAATGGCACAATTTTTTGTGACTGGATTTGCAGAACGTAAAATTGAAATGGCTACCACTGTTGCTTTACATATAGGATCCTTAATTAAACATCAAGATAAGAATAGAATACATTCCAATTATTATCATCATCAACGACAACACGAGAGCCGACATCATAATGATCAGTTGAAGGCTAATTCGAACACACAAATACCTTTAGTGTTGCCTGGAGTTTCATTGCATCGATCAATTGAGCGGAATGTTGAAAAATCACTTGTTTCATCTAATGATAACAGCAATAATAATGATAATAATACTGAATTTTGTAGAAAATTTGTACATTCCAGTGGAAAAAGTCCTGTACTCTATAATGATTTATCGAATGAAATCAATTGTACTGTTTTAAATGGTAATAAAACTGTTCAAAGTAGAGAATGTTCACAAGAACCTCATAACTGTGGTAAAGATCGTAATGTAAATGGTAAAGAAGCAAAGTTTTACAGGACAAAGACACTAGTAGGTTTTTCTTTTCCTTACGTATTATTATTATCATTATTATTTTATATATTGGTGTTCATCATCACTTGTGAAGAATTGAATTTTTCTCTTTGTTGACATTCATTGTCTAAATTAATCTACCAATCTGTAAATTTATTGAATGGACGCCTTAATATTGCTTGTATTTACATGATTAGAATTTTGTATAGTTGCTTTTAGTGAACATACTCGTTGAACAAGTGGCTTTCATTATTCAACAGACTAACAAATAACGTTCTCGTATTTGAAGCGATAGGCACTGGGTTCCAGTTTCAGCTGGATGCAGGTATGTATATGCATCTGACTTGTTTCAAATAAAAGAAATTTATTTATTTAAACACATAAACATTGGTATATAAGGGCACCAAATACATATGCGCCACACAATAACAGTGAGGTGAACAGATAGAGAATGTAAAGTGCGTATAATGAAGAGAAGAATAACAACGAACAGAAATTAGTGTATGAGAGTGAAATGATAATAATGAGAGAAACATTTCAGTTAGCGAAAATGCAACAAAAAAGAATTCTTTCAGTCAAATAAGTTACGTTTGCTTTTATGAAGTAAAAGAAAGTCACAGCAGGATCGCCACTGGCTTTTATTCTGAGCCATGTCTGATAATTTTTCTAGCCACTGTGTTGCACCATTTTTAGGACCTCAACCAGGGAGTCGTGAAGGACCAACAGAAGCCAGCTCTGTACAGTTTTCTTTCATATTACAACACCATGTCATACACTGATCACCTCTCCGCTTTCTCCAACCAGTCACAGTGTCGGCAAACAGTGCGCGACGTGGAGTTCTCTTGGACAACGTTCGTAAGATGACTCCAAACCACCGAAGTCGATGTTTCAAGATAGTGAAACCAGTCGAATTATCGTCGCTGTGCCCGAACACACGATGCCGAACTTCTGCATTACTGACATGCTTTGCCACTGGACGTCAACAGAGTTGTCTAACGTCCTCAACTCGGAGAGGCCATGTTTCACAAGTATAGTTAAAAACTGCTCTCACCGATGTGTTATGGACCCAACCCTTTACAACCATACTAACATCACGAAGGCGCCAAAGATGGTCCAAGTTGGCATGAGCCGCTCTGGCTTTCACTATACGCAAATTAATCTCACGCCACCACCAGCACTTACGCAGCTACCCAAATACATAAACTCCCCGATTACTGTCTGCTCACTATTTAGTTACAACAGAAGCTGCAGCCAATTCGCTGACATCGGTCCGTTTAGGACGATGAATTTGTTGGCCACTGAAACGTACGGTAAAACTAGTTCAAACAAGGGTATGATCAGAGTCCAGATAGATGCTCCAAAGGAGTGGCAGTCTTGTATACAACCACGCCAGAGGTAGTTTATCGCGGTATGATCAATCTGAGTCCAGGTTTTAGATGCAGAGGGAGAACGCCAGGCAGCACATCGGCGATGACTGTGTCGATAGTTAATGCTAACCAGAAACAGGTTGTAGACTGCGCGTAGTTGCATTGGACGGTCACCGTTATCTGACCTGAAACCAATAAGTCCCCATCAGCCACCTCAACGACTCTGTTCTGTGCATAGACACCTGAACTGAGCATTCAAGTCTATAGCTAGTACTGCAATATCTGTCGAATGCACTTTCTGTAGTATAGTTTACTGGTTGTAAAAATCATCCGGGCTGCAATCTGCTGGAGCTATCTTTGATTTATCTCTTAACCATGATAAAAAAAATCGAATGAGTACATTTCAGTTAGAAAAGAATGTTTGCTAGGCGTTATACGATCTACATGGAGCCATGCTGTTCATTTCTTGAAAATTAACCTATCTCTATCCGTTATATTTACAATCGTAACACTAAACTAAATAAATTGACAACGAAGCACAGTACTGTTGGATAGCTAGAAGATCTGTGTACCTCGAACTAATGTCGTTTCATATTCATCGTCAAAATGCGTCTACAAAATAAAGCAGAGATATGCAGTCTTAGGCGAAATAATACTAAGTCAACATGACAGTGTTAGACGTCAAGAGTGATTTTACTAGACCACCGTTGATAATCTGTCAGCCGATCAAGTTTGGGACTAAAGAACCATTGGTTAAGAAAACTTCATTTGAAGTACTAAAATAACTTTATTTTTCTTCCTTCTAATTGTTTTTATTCACTGAACTTTTAATTCGTTTTACAAATCATGAATTATCATGAAATGGTTTAATTTTCTTAAATCCTATTTTGTATAATATTCAGAATACTGATCTTAATTCACGTGATCAACATAACAAATTCAAAAATGAATATGCTCAGTATAAACACATCTATCATGCTCATTATCCATTTGACAATAACAATCCACGACGTTCTTATACATCTCATACACTATATGAAAATTGTACAAAATTATCCGATCATAAATGACCGCTTCTACTACTGGATCCGTCAGTACGGTGACTGCAACTTCAATGGTGCCAATAAAATCACTTGATGCCCCAAATAATTCGAAGCAACGCTCAAAAGAGAATTATTGTACTTCATCGTCATTTAAAGATCACAATAATAATACTAATGAACATTTGTTATTCAGTAGCAATGATCTTCCTCCAGTGGTTGATCATCAGGATAATCAATCTAGTTTAATGAATCATGAAGATCTTCGAAATATAATGAATTCATTGTTCCAATTAACCGGTAAAGTGAATGGTATGCTTACACGTATAAATAAATTAGAGAGTAGACTAACAAATGTTGAGACTGATTGTTCGTTTAATCATCGTTCAAGAACATATAGCGGAGTAAGTTTATGGCTAATTTTTTATTCACTCATCGTTTTTTTTTCTATTTTAAAAAGGAATTTAGTCTTGAAACTTTTTGTGTGTGTCCTTATATATGCATCTCACTAATGTAGGTAATTAGCTTGTGATCAATGGCTTCTTTTTCCTAATCTACTTTTAACTCGTTTACCGGACACAGATTCCTGTAATTGGCTTTGACCCACACTTTAAATGGGAGGGCTAGTGTTTCTAGTACTTGGTTGCCCAAACCGAAATAGATGAAGCAGGGTTTAAACCAGAGAATCAGTGAATAAGGTTTTAGAGACTTATCTATTTATTTGAATAAAAGCAAGTAGGTGGTACTGGCGTTCCCTAATCTTGCTACATATATAGACGTGTAGCTCATTCTCTTTTTTTAACAAAAGTATGTATAATTGATGAGATTATTGTCAACAAGTCGCTCAGCTTGTCTGTTAAATTACGAATGACATGATGGGGAGCGAATGTGGACACTTAAAATAACTGTTCTGAAAGCAAAAGGAGATGTAACAGAAATCATTCAGTGGTTCCTACCTATATACAAGCATGCCCTCACAACAGTTCCCCACCGTAAAAGTTACTGGTAGAAGATGAAGGCTGCGAACAATAAATGATGCAATAAAATGGTCCAAAAAGGGAAAACAGCAGCCAGGCAGCTTATAAAAGACTGGCAGACTACAGAATTGGCAGAGATGGGTGGGCAAAGGGGTTTGTTAATGGCCAGAGAGGTAGTCATTTTTGAAGTAACTGTGGAAGGAAAAAGACATGTACGCCACAAGGATCGTTTGCTCAGGAAACCCAAAGAAGACTGACCAGAGGAGTTCACTGCAGCCGTGGATACCCTCATTGATTCTTGTAAAGAAAATACAGAAGTGACACAAGAACCTATAAAAGAATTGCTACTCTGAAGAAGTAAACGATAGCGAAGGAAAACCATAGAATTTCAGGTGCAGTGAATGAACTTTGGAAAAGGAGAAGTCCTAAGGCTAACAAATGATTACTCAATTTTTATTAATACTGCTCAAGTCTTGCTAGTGACAGAAACTGCGAGTGCTTTTTTCCAATCCAATTTTGAGCACGATCTTTACCGTTTTCTAATCGGTCTCTAATTTTCTGTACGCTTTGAGGTCAAATCTATGCCTTCGTTGCTGTGTATGTCGAGTTATGTCATTTTAAGTTTGCCGACTTGAATATCAAGTTTTTCTTACACTTCATGTTATCGAGTCGGCAATAGGACTATTCGTATTAAAATAGCTCGGTTGTTTCTAATATCCAAGTGTGGGTAGCACAACCAGAATCCCGAATGCGTAGTGGTTTTTATAGAGACATAACCGATAGACATACAGATAAAAAAGGTATATAAAAGGAACATAAATGGCGATTTAGGGCTAGTAATATAACTGGGTACAAGAAAACCAATAAAACGGATCTGATGCACTTTATGGCCACGGGACTGGTCTGATCTTATGTAAACCAAAAGAGTATGCAATTGTATAAACTTGTGATGTATGAACTCACCATCTGAGATTTCTGTCTCCGAGATGTTTTTGGATGGTGTTGTTTCCTGTGAGTTGGATGGGAAGCGTTTATTTCCACTCTATCAGCAATGTTCGTGTTATGGTGTGTTCTGCTATGCGTTCATAGAAGTAAGTGACCTTGACTTAATCGATAACATCGACTGGGTTTCAATTTATTGCGAACACTGAAAGTCCTTGAACGATCGATAAATCCGGATTATGCATTATCAATGATAGATTGTAGATTTTGAGATAGTGGGTTGTAGCTTACACTATGAATTTCTTCGTTAGTTATTACCCGAACATTTATGCAAAACTTGAAATAGGAAACATTAATTTTCCTAATTAAGGACACTGTTGTTTGTATTCATTGCGATTATCGGTTTCAGGTTGTATGTTTTTTTTTTAAATGTTAACCTATAGAATACTGTTGGTTCAAATCAACCACTCACGGATTCAATTGATATATATGGAAGTAGGAATATTGTCAATCCCACTAGTTTACCTCATGTTGTTACAGGAAAATATAGTAGTTATTTGCCCATTAACTCAACAAATTCACTTGTCACATCTAATAGTGGCAGTTCTACGTTGGATACGTTCAATGAAACGAAGTGCACAATTGGAACAAAAACAAATACTACCACGAATGCTGTAATGTCATCGTTACCAGTGACAACGGCGACAACAACAACCAACTCTTATGATGTTAAATCGTATGCAGGTCGTTATATTCCAAGTTATAATAATAAATTATCTGAGTCTTTCTTATCAAAACCTAAATATTTGACATCAACAAAATTGAATTTACAAGATAACAACGATTATCATTATTCAGTTGCTAGTAATCAAGCTATAATGGATAAAACAGAAAGTCAGAACGTGAAAATTTCTATAAATGATGATCATCAATCTATCAAAAATGTTCCGAATGCTTTTAATTCATTCCATGATTCATACAAATCCAATGAAAATTGTTATGACTTATCAAGTCGGGTTAGTTTATTTATTTATAGATTATATTCATATATATTTTGCCCCTTTATAGTTTATGTCATTTTAAAAAATGACTGTGAGTCTAGAGATATTTACGTAGACTATATAGTTTGTATAATGTCCTCTGTGTTGTAGGGTTCTTTCACACAGAGGCGAAATTAGATAAAAATGTTGAATTCAGCACTTAGTAAGACTGGAACAATGAAGTAGAAGCAACATTTTGGTACGTAACGAGCAAGCAACATTTCGGCCGTTACGTAATCGTACACGCAATTGAGAATCATGCCTAATTTTTTGTTTTTCTGCTATATCCGTTTCTTCGGTGCTAGCACTTCACACAAATGCATCACAACCCTTTTGCGTAGTCTGGAGACATGTCAAATGATTAATACGACCTCTACGGGTGTCCATACATCCGCTAGAAGAATTATCATGATACAATGTCCTTCTAACACCAGATTTCAATTGGTTAGAGGTTGTGAGACATACAGACTATTTTCTTCCAATCGCCTATAGTATTTTAATCGTGTTTATTTTGTGTTCGTATTCTATCATTTTATTATTTTTTAAAAATCCATCCCTCTGGCTAGTGGTTTTGTCTTTGATCTTTAATCATCTCACGAGTAGCCATTATTTCGGTCACATTACATCATTGCGTTCATCTGTCGATTAGCATTCTATTAATCGATTTTAACAGTCGAAATTTCGTTTAACTAAATCACAGAAAACCTCCTTTATAACATTACATCCTTGTATCAAGTTTTAAGAAAGCTATTCAGTATAAGAAGGCTGAATTCTAGTATTATTTCATAACTGACGTAAAATTCAAACATATTCTTAGTATAACAATGTTATGTCTCCAGAACGCATTGACAAATGTCATGTGCCCAGTCACATATCGGAATCCTAGTTCCGATTTGGTCTTCTATTAGCTTAGTGTCTCTAACTTGGCCGAATACACGCCCGATCAGCACGATTGTCCCTGAGCTGGCAGCTAAGTTCTTATTAGTCAACTATTCGTTAGTTCCTCTCTATCCAAAATTAGTAATCACCCTCCACTATCTTCATATCTCAAACAGATGTGGTTTATGTACAGACATACCGGACCCCACCACAACATAAAATGAAAACTAACAGTCATGCATAAGCAAGCTAAAAATGGCTATGAATGAGGAGACTAAACAATAAAATGGCAATTAAATAGGAATGGTAAGTCGTACGACAGTGGTTTATGGGTTAGTCGAAAGCTTGGGTTAAAAGGCCCCGAAATGACTTGATATGGCCGAGGGTAGGGAGAGTCCTCTCTGCCGCTCGTGATATGATCATATGATCATGCGTGTATAACCATTGCTAAGGAATTCCTACATACTCCCCTCTCACTGTGGGGGTGTTGTTTACGAATTTGAGAAGACGAGAAGTGAATATTCGGCGCTTAAACGGGTTAGTGAGTGCGGACAATCCACCTAGGGGAGTTGGAAAATCCTGATTTCAAGCCAGTGTTACACATAGTCTCCAGGATCCGGAGGAAACGAAGGACACACGAAGCTATTCTTGATCACCGGCTATTACGAGACTACATCTAATGTTGCTCTACTGCCTTGTGGATTAGACTTCTAGGTCAAAGGATCTGTGAGTGGCCCCCTTAGAAAACCTTCTTTCGTTTGCACACCCAAACAGCATCCCAGCCCATAAATATTCTATGATAACATTGTACAGCGCATGTATATTTGGTTTCACTTTGTGCCAATCTTTATGTGTTTAAAATAAAAATGAAATGATAAAATGAATACATAAGTACTTGTTATAACGCTCGGTTTTACGTCGTCTTATGTTATGACGGTTGGGTTTCCACGTTTACACGTATGGGACGTTAATTTACCTTAAACGATTATCTACACTAGATTCCCTCCCAGTGTCTATTCTACAGGACTTCAACGCAACTCAGATCAAGAACACGTGATTAGCCTGACCGCAACGTAAATATATTTCCACACCAAAGCCAGACACAATCCAACAACAATGAACAATCAATAATAAGTGTGTCATAATAATAACAAGGATAAGGGAATCTTTAACTCATCTGACACCTGTCAGACTATCTACATGTCTGACTAAGCGGATAACCAATCATTATCATTCTCGCCCACACATCAGTACTGTAATGTAGATACTCAGTAATCATATAAAAAAGTACAATTAATCATTCGGAAAACCGGTTTGAACTTTTACATTATTCGTTCCGTTATAACAGTCAGTTACTACTTACTAGGTTGGATCGTTATCTCGCTATCTATAGTAAGTTGACCATGATTATTGATATCGACCATTGAATTTCGATTAATTGTTTAGACTCGCTAGACCCGAAGTTGCTGTTCTAGATCCTATGTGTTCGTCGTGGATGCATATTTTTGAAGACAGACCTATACTAGGGTGAAAAAGCTATCGACTGCTCTCTAATGTTCAGTAATGGTTATTCAACTAACTGATTTGTCAATCTGCGAAAAGACTGTAACTGCACAATGTGCAACTCAGCTGAATGGCTGGAATCATCTCTAGGAGTAGATCCTCCAATAAGATAGAAGCATGTAGCAATATACATCCAGCCTTGAAGGCATGTTATATGCTATGAAGGGGGGGCATGCAAATCAGCGTGTGCGAAAAAGTCTGAAATAGAGAAGAACAAGAGTAAAAGACTATGAACGCATAGGATAAAATTACATTTAATAATGTAGTCAGTTGACGACAATTAGCAATAACACATACATGAAATTAAGACAGTCTGATAATGGAAACTCAAAGTTAGTATAGTAAGAAAAAGTTACAAAAATAATCTTTCAAAGTCACGCAATTATCGAATGGATATTATGCTAAGTATTAAAATTAAGATAATTTATTTAAATCAAATATCGATCGTAAGAAACGTGTGTCAACTAGAATTTTGCTAACATTTCTTACTTTTACTGACCTATTTCCTATATTGACAAAATTTAAGTATCAGAATGGGTTTTGTGAAGAGTTTTAGAAATTTCACAGGTTGAAATCATGAGTCGATTGAAGCTAGACCACCATGGAAAACCTGGAAGCACTGGACGGCCGTTTCGTCCTAGTATGGGACTCCTCAGTTGTGCGCATCCACGATCCCGCACCACTCGGGGTTCGAACCCAGGACCTGCTGGCTTCACGCGTGAGCACTTAACCACTAGACCACTGAGCCGGCATCCAACGGCCGTCCAGTACTTCCAGGTTTTCCATGGTGGTCTAGCTTCAATCGACTCATGATTTCAACCTGTGAAATTTCTAAAACTCTTCACAAAACCCATTGTGATAATAATCAACTGCTCACTAGTGATTGACTTCAGGAAAAACTCCTGGAGTTCTAGTGAGAAGCCGTTACCAGTGGAGTTCAACCAGGTCTGTTGGGAGATAACAACTCACTGAAGACAATGGTGTACGGTGGCGCAACTTCGTGGATTGGTTGAAGTTAGACAATAACACTGTTGGATTCCGGCTCAGTGGTCCAGTGGTTAAGTGCTCGCGCGCGAAGCCAGTAGGTCCTGGGTTTAAAGTTTAAGTAGATGAATTAACAGAAAAGTCTCCTATTCGTTTCTACTCTATGAGCTTAAAGATGTTGTGAACTTTAAGTCAACACACTAAAACCTTCAATACGAAATTCTCGGACTTTTCACTCAGATAGCCGGTGAATAACATCAATTCAGAAAACAAAGAGTTTTGTAAACTGGTCTATTGAAATAATATCTAATAACAAGGCACAATGACAAATAATCTAACATTAAAATGTTTGTAAACTTGATGATGATCCGTTTTGCTAACAGTTACGTGTAATAAGTACACTGAAGAGATATGGAGCGGTGACTCCAATGGTTGGGACGTTCAGCTTCTAACTGGTAACTCCACTCTATGGAATTCAGTTTCAGAAACCATATGGTATCACTAGTCTTTACACTTAAATTGGCACCTAAAGCCTATTACACAAACCTGTACTTGGTTAATGAGTTACTAAAATGCTAGAGAGATCATTGCTAATGGTATTTTACTAGGGGAAATAATCTGTAATTCGCCTCTGCCCCCGGGTTGCATTCGAAATATATTAAATTTCCTTCTGATTTGTTTGATGAAATAGACATTGTAGTTCAAAATGTCTGTTTTACTAATGTAACAATTATCTCTTTGTTTAAAAACTTGTGAATATTTGAACGATATCCCAACTATAGTAGTCAGATTTGTTGGTAGACTGAAAATTATGTTTTCTAAGTAAGGCCTGCTTTTAAGTTATTGGATACTAGATATGTGCTAACTTTTTGTACAGGACATATGTATGACAGCATGATCCATTGTAATAGAGTACGTAATTATCACAATCGACTATCAGTTTATACTGTTTTCAATAAAAGTATGTTTATAGTTTTATTCATTATTTTGCATTGTATTAAAGAATGAAATTCCGGAATCTGTTCATTCTAAATATGCTGACTCTTTGAAAACTATCAATCATCGATCATCTAGATTACTTGATCTGAATACTTGTTTACTGGTCGATTTAGATCAACAATCTGAAATTCAATCCCTTTCATTCGGTCGAAATAATTCGGCATTACCTTATCGTCCTAAATCATCTGCTGATTATTCTACCACACATGATACATCTAATCCATTTGAGAATTCTTGTGGTCAGCGTAAAATGATGATACCTTTGTTGCCATTAAATTCATCACGTAAATCTGTTGAATCAAAGACTCCAATCAATCAGAAGTCCGAGGCTTCATATCGTGCTCAAGTGGAACGTATAACCAATATGTAAGTCATCTAAATTTTCCTTTCTTCAGTGATTAAGGACGCTTACTGCTGTAATCTAGGAGGTGACTTAATTCATTGGGCATTCGACTTTCAGTCTGTTGGTCACACGTTTGAGTCGCTCTCTACCTACTTCGATTAGGCTGCAGTGTTATCACTAACTCCTACATGTAAATTGTCACTGAAAGCTGGGTACACCAACTTGTACTTGTAAAGAGTCTAGTTACAAGCGTAAGTGGCCAATCGGGCTCTCGTTTGAACATACAAAATGTAATGTTTCACAGTTCAATCCTCCCAATCTACATATAACAGTTCATCTTCCATAATGATCATATCGTACCAGCAGAAATCTTACAGCCAAGAAAATCAATATGTAAACTAAGGCCACACATATACACAGCCTCAAATAGAAATGCATCGGTTCAAATCGTTACACTTTGAAGTAGCATAAAGAAATGAATTCATCAGTTTACCAAAATAATTCAATGACACAAAAATTGAGGATCAATATGATTTCCAAGATCTGTTGAAAAATAAGTGGGTACATCTTCTCCAAGATAGTTGGTTCTGAGATATATTACTTGAAGTTCTCAGTCACTGACTGGTTATATCTCTATGATTCTAATCACAAATCCTGAACTTTATATGATTGGCAGATGGACACTTCGCCCCCTACACATGTAATGCGCTTTGGTAAAAACCAACAGAGCTTTCGTTAGATACCGACCAACCAGTGAACGTACTGAAATACTTCACTCTCTATGATCAATATGAACAATTACGCAGACCAGTTCTGAAGCAGCAGTATTTCGCATTTAGATGAAGTGGAACGCATTCACCCATAGTATTTCTAATATTTTGCTTAGATGTTTTGTAAAATGACTCGTGTAGTTTGAAGCTAGTTTTCATCACGACCTTTTATAACCGGATAAAGGATTCTTGAAAACCAAACTCACATTGGAGCCCTCATGTCTCAGTTGTCTAATACCCCAATGTAAATTTATAGCTGATGTTATTTCGTTATGTAAACTATGTTTAGTCATTTGGTTAGTCATTTTAACCATAAACATGTGTTTTTGTAATTTGTATTCGTCACAACCTGATCTCAGTTGGGCTAGGAGTAAAAGCCGGGAAGCAGTTATCAGTGGTTTTATCTCAGTATGGGACTCCTTGAAGTTCGAATTGAATCATCAAAGCTTAAACCAGTGATTCAAATGGTTAAGCATTCGCTGCTATGTTGATGGTCCTGAATTCGATCCCTGGTATGGTCGTAGATGTGCACTCCTGAGGAGTCCCAAACTAAGACGAATCGAGTTATCTAGGGTTTTCCGGTTTTCAATAATCTCGACACTAAGGTCAGTCTGTGACAAGTACAACCTAGAAATTAGACCGATCTCCACGAAAACCTACCAACTGGACTATATATATATATATATATATATATATATATATATTCTTTCCCAATGCTTTCATTGTAGGCTTGCTGAAACACAAAATCTTCTTCAAGAACATTCTCCTGTTGTTAAAATGAACGAAATATTCAGCAGTAACAATAATAATATCATAACCAATGACAATAGTAATAATGCAGTAATTTTAAAAGCATAAAATTGAAATTCTTAGTAGATTGAATAATTTTTTTATTATAAATGACTATAGTTGATGAAAAAGGAACCAATTTTTCGTGTGACTGTTTTTGAACAAATAATGCTACATTGTTTGTTTGTCTTAATATGACGTACAAGTTTTTGTTCTTTTCGCATTTGTGTGTGTGTGTGTGTTTAGAAGAGAAAGAATGCATTTAGTTCTGTTTGTGATTGTTTTAAATGAAACAAACATACTAGTGAGTTACTTGAACATACAGAATAAAATGAACTTATATCATCATCATCATCATCATCATTCGACACATAAAACGATCATATCAACTACACATTGATCTACCTACACAGATGACAGGGAATAATAAATATAACTGTCAGAAACACGGTTATAACGTGTTTCTTTCTTTTTTTCTAATTTCAAACCAAAAGTTTAAAATGGAACAGAAAATCCAAAGAATAATCTTATTCAAACGTCTAATTCTAATTTCATCAATGAAAAACTATCTCGGATATTTGTTATTTCTCCTTCTCAAATCACTTTATTATCAAATTATGATTATCTGTAGATTGTTTTCAAATTATTTTGCAAAGACTTTGTGACTAGAATATTATTACATTTACATTGTTTGCTCATTAGTGATATTGTTCGTTTAATGGTTTTTTGGTTATTTGTTTTATTGAACATGTGCTTCCAAGTATATCCGAATCTGAATTAGTTAGAATAATAAACTATTAGTATGATTATTATTATTTGAAAATGCCTCTTCATTCACTTGAAACATTCTCTTCATGTTATAATTGATGATAGTAGTGACTTCTATAAAACCCGGTTGTATTTTCTCGCTAATATTATTGTAATGTTTGACAATATTCTTTCAGCCCTTTAATCTTGATTTTAAAAATGTGTTTTCTTCTTTTTAAATTGTTTATCATTTCATAAAGAAAATTGAGTTTAGTGTGATAATAATATTGAGAGTATAAATATTAGAGGTGATTTACACCTTGGTAGTGAAATTTACGTTACTAATATTATTATTATTATCATCATCCAGTTTATAAGATTGTTACCGTTGTTCTTCCCCCTCCCTCTAGAAAATTGTATTCTTATTTAATTTTGTTTGTTTAAAATGATTAACATAAAAAAATCGGTTATTCATGTTTTGTTGTATTGAATATTGTTTGCCAAGGTTTTGGCTAAAGGTTATGCATAGCTCGAAGCCCTAAGACTCAAACACACTGGATAAGTATTTGTTTTTCCAATTAAGATTTAAGTGATAAATTGTACCAAAGTTAGCTAAAAATATAACGAACCAATGGTAGCGGAATTAACAACTGAACTAAATAGCTAAAATAAAACAAAAAATACGATTAGAACGACAACAGTTCATATTCAGTCAACTACTTTTATTACTATCCAAATCATTTGTATAGGATTAAAGCAACCAAACCTAAAACTAGTCATAAGCGCTAATATAGGTAAATATACCTGTACACCAAGGTTGAGTAAATAAATAAGAGGTAATCATAAAGCAAAGGAGCCCATAATTTATGAAACGTATACACTCAGCAAGCAAAGCATGTTCAGCGCTGACGACATTAGAATAATGAAAGTGATGGTTGTGAATATTCTACATATGTTTATCACTGTCTTAATGTTTTTGCTAATTTTCAAAGAGAAGCGAAAGTCGGTATACGTAGTTTGGAGTGAGCGTTTGGGAGATAGGTGTTTGCACCTCTTGATTCATCACTACTGAAGGTGATGGTTATCAGAAGAAGAAATTCACAACCCTAACATTGTCAGTCTTCAAACTTGATGCCTATTAGCTTAGAGATTACAATGTGAAATATTCAGTATCTCAAAGATGTATAAGTGATGCACCAAGTAGCCTCTGTATTCAGTCACTAGTGCGGTGATCGTCAGTATACACTCTTGAAAATCCTTATACTAAGACGGTGTATTTGTCTAATTGAAGTCAATCCATATCCGATCAATCAGAATGAGGGACCTGAGGTCATTTAAAGTCAAATGACTGTCTCAGATCAGCAGAATACTTATAGACAAATATAAGATAAATTGTTCTACAATAAATAATAATTAGCTTGGGCTAACAAACTCACATCCAGTGAAATAGATTCAGCAACAACAGCAGTCGACCCTCAGTTCAGAAAATTACAAAAGTAACTAGTTCTATATGAACGAATAGACAATGAAAGAACGGATAGTTTATGATTAATCAAAGAAAGAAGTTATACGATTAAAACAGCCAGTTACTCATGGATAAGTCATAATAAACAAATTTCACTATCCGTAGTGTAAACTTCCCTCAGAAATTCGAATTAATATTAGCTAATCTAGAGTTCTTGCATCAATATTGGAAATATGTAATACCTTGGTTCAATAATCGGTTCGAACTGAAGAATTTTACGCAATACACATTTAAAATAAGTACAGCTCTAGTTCACTTGGAATTTTCTGCTTGTATCTTCTCACTGTTGTTAAGTCTTTAATTGGTTAGTCACCTGCTAACATATGTGCGGACTGCCTCCATATTTCCTTAGGTCACAAGCTTTATAAGCAGTAGAACCCAGGACGCACGTTTCGTCCTATTTGGGACTTGTCAGCTAGGTGTACATGCCTCCTCGGGTTGGTGTCCACTCCGGGACTCGAACCCCATAGAGTTATCCACCCAGCTACTGAATCCTGATAGCCACCTGCTTGCGCAATGGAGTGAAGTTTAATTCACTTGGTATTGTCGGCTTGCATCTTCCCATTGTTGTTTAGGACTGCAACTGATCAGTCTCTTGTTGGCTTATGTGCGAACTGCCTCGATATCGCCTTAAGTTACGAACCAGATATCCAGTTTTAATGGACATTACCAATCAACTGAAGATAATTCAATTTCAATACTATGGACACCACATCTCCAACATGTTAGCATCCCTAGTCTAGTCCAGTCTTAATGTTAGTTATGTCCATAACTTATCAATCAAATCATTGCTTAAGTCCTCACCACGTCCATCTGGTCTGATGTATCTGTAGACTATCCCTGTTGAATGTAACCTGTCAATTTGAAGGATATTATCATCCCTTTATATTAGTGACACATAATTTTTATTCATTTCGATAAGACACGCATTAGTAGTTGGTATGTTGGTGAGTTCCACTTAATAAATAAAATTCCTTTAATTATTGTACTAATGTAATTGTTTTTACATTTAGAAACAGATAAAGTTTAAAGCCAAATTATCTTCGTTCTGACTATAACTTTCACATAGTCTCTAGGGTCGCCGTGTATCGCGTTTACAGTACTAGTAGAATATTTGTAAGATAAATCAAATCCTACACTTAATTTAGTGATTCATTCAAATAAAATAAAAACATCTTTTCAAATAGAATTTCTTAGCTTGTTTTTTTTTGTTTTAAATTATGCATGACAAGCTGAAGATAAATAATGAGATTGGTAAATTTAACTTAATGTGTAGTGTATCCATCATACACAACTATACAAACTGATTGTATTATGTAAAACCATTTACAAACTAAAATTTAAAATAACAATAATAATATGAATTGTTTAAAATAAAAAAAAGAGAAGTAGACAAATCATGAAATAGATGTGGCAAACAAAAAATGGAGCAGTTACTGTGAAATAAATACAAGATGATAATTTCATTATTAAAAAGTCAAAATATTAAGTAACAAAACCAAAAAATGTCCTCTCTCTTTTTCTCTTCTAACATCTTATTGATAACCTTAAGAGAAAGGTATGACAATGATGAGTGTTATATATGCTGTATTCAATGTGCTCAATTGAATTAGTGTTAAAACATTTGTATGTATTAAGTGATGTGAAGAGGCACACAGGTAGAAGCTATGAATTAATTAATATGAATTCATAGAAATGAGTTGGACTGTTGTTTTGTTTCTTTTTGTGTTATTTTTGTATTTTTACAAAACATAAATGCAACAATAAATTCATTTGAAGAAAATTATTTTCCAGTAATAAAAAGAAAAGAAACATAAATAAGCAGAGTAAACAAATTTTCATTGAATGTTACTTTCATCCTGAATCATTCTACTATTTATCTTTATTCTACGCTCTTTGACTAATTTCCTCCATTTTTTTTGTTTAAAACAGTGAAGAATTGTGAAATTACGAAAACCCCTGTTTCTTTTTCGTCATCGTTATATCCTACCACACAAATTTAGGCAAGATGATATTTTAGCCGATTTATTACGTGAAAATAATTTTTGTGGATAGATCACAGTACAGCCGTAATTATGCGCACACATAATACCACCAAGTAGCTTATCAATTGACTGTGATGATGGTGATAATGATGTAACAGTAGTAAAGGAATGTTTTGAAAATAATTTCAGTTTATTATTACTATTCTCATTAGAATGATTGTGTGTGTTACCATTATTATGATTAGTTTGTTGTTGATGGGGATGATTTGAATGGGACAAAGCATTAATACTACTCTTGGTATTAGTAGTAGTATTAGCAGTGTGAACAATTTCATCACTGTATACTGGTTGTATAGCCATAATTTGAAATTTCTTTGATTGATGACTACCGATATTATAATATAAACGTTGAACACAAATTGCTTTTTCAATTCTTGTTATCCAATACAAATCATAATTAGATTGATCTAATAATATGATACGATTATCTGATGTGTAAATTATATGTCCAGGTACTATATTGAATGAAATACTTGGTGTAAAATGAAAATATCCATCAATATCAATATCTAGAATCAACACTTTATCTTCTGTTGGACATGTTGCCCAAACATTTTGTTCATTTTTAGCTAAACATAAAAAGTAAGGTGATAATTGTGGATCATTTAAATACCAGGTACGATCAATTCTAGTTAAATCATTCGATTTTAAACGACATATCATTGCATTCGCTGGTTGTGCAATATAAATATCACCGTTAGTATGATCAATATCTATTCCAAAGACAATTGGTTGATCCTGTCTTTCTAAACCAACGGCATCACGATAAAATAAACTTGAAGTAGCTATAATTGGGAATGGATTAGTCGACGACGATGATGTATCTTGATTTGATTCAGTATTGGTTTCATGATTATTATTATTATTATTATTATTATTATTATTATTATTATTATTATTATTATTATTCCTACCAGCACCATTGACCAAAGTAGCTGTATTATTTTTATTCGAATGATCTTCATCAGAAATTGTACAACAGACTAGAATACCAAATTCTGACTTCTCTATAGAGTCTAATCCTTCTGCCTCATTCAATGTAGATGCAGTTGATGTATTCGGTGTAATAATTCCCGTTAAATAAATAACAGAACCATGAAAACGTAAATACAAAATTTTAATTGGATTTGAATTATCAACAATAATTTGACTACTAATTTGATTTAATCCATATTTATGATTATTATGAATAAGATTGAAAAATCCATTGTTAAAATGTAATTGCTGTTTCCATAATAATAATTCATCACATTTTAAATTTGTTGTTAATGTAAAACGATGTATGTTACAATTGTTATCTTCATGATTGATCATTAATTTCATATCAACAGGTTGATACATTTCACCTGGTCGCATAATGCAACAATCTTTACCTTTAGTAAGTACATGAAATTTAGAATTACGTTCCATCATTATACGTAAACCTTCAGCATCACGATATGATATATAAGATGATGCTGTTTCTACCGGTAATAGATCATTTGATGATATTGAACTTGCTGTAAGTCTACGTATACGTGATGCTGCAGCATGAAATCGACCAAACTGACGTATTGAATTAGTTGGTGAAATAGTAGATGGTGTGCTAGAACGTGGATTAGTATTTTGATTAATAGTAGTACAACCATTATTATGACTAGCATTTTTATCTAATGAGTTTATATTATTTATATTTAATGAATGTTGTTTATTATTATTTAAAGATGTTAATGGTAATTTATCATCGAATGCTTGTAAATTTACTAAAATTTCTTTAAATTCATCAATGATTACAGCACGATCAATTGCATTCATTCGTCCTTCACGCTGTCTTGATGCAATATCATCTACTATGTAATTTAACATTCTTGAACTAACTTGTAATGATGTTTTACGAGTAGGTACTGGACTTTTACATCGCTATCAGTTTGTTCGATCATTCCATTATTATTATTATTATTATTATTATTATTATTATTATTATTCATACGCGATACAAAACTACTAATATGATTATTTTTTAAAAATTCTAAAATTGCTTTATGATTAAAAGCGCTGGGAAATGAATCAGCATTACGTGTAGCTGGAATTGGACATAATGCACGGCATATTGGACAAGGAAATGATGTTTTTTCATTGGATTTATCATTTCTATGATCCCGAAGATTACCGGTATTCGTGTTGTTATTATGATTATTACGACTGTTATTGTTGTGACTATTATTATTGGAAGCAGTAGTAGTATTTCTAGCATTGGTTGGTGATGTTGGCAATTTTTCCATATATTTATTTAAACATTTACAACAGAAGGCATGACCACATGGTAATAATTTTGGGTTATCTAAAAAATTTAAATCAATTGGACATGTGACCATATCTTCCAACGGTTCTAGCACTGATGAACTTGAGCGTCTACATTTTTGAGCCTAGAAAGAACAGAAAAATTGAAAGATGAAGAAAATCAATTAAGGAAACAAAGTGAATGAAATAATTTTTTTTTCATTATGAATGTTTACTGAAATTCAGGCTATACATTTTTATCTATGCAATAAAACTGTTTTATTTAATATCCATTAATGACAAATCGCACGATATCTAAAAGGTATGTGCGAAGTCATATTCAAGAGTGTGAGCACGACTTGTTGTAAGTGAATTATTTATCCATCCAAGGTCATCAAACAAATGAATTCTTGGAGCTTAAGAATAAGCCATTTCCTATGGATAACAAATGTTAACACAAGGTCAAATGATAAGAACAAATAGTTAGTGAATGTAACAAACGTTAATCATATTAATGTTATGTTTCAATATGCTGTCTGGATTGCCTTAACTTTTCGTCTTTTTATGTATATCGGGCAAAGCTTTTCTTGAGTGATTTGGATATTTTGATGATTCAAGTGATAGGTAGAGGATAAATGTTGATTCTACTATGTAAGCTTGTACAAAAACGAAATTATACACAAACTAACGTATGTTTAGTTTAAGTAAATTCATTAATTCATTTTGTATGGTTTGTTTGAATCTTCTCATTGATGTTTAGGACCGCAACTGATCAGTCTCTTATTAACATATATGCATCCTGTGAGGACTGCCTCGATATTACCTTAAATCATAAGCATTATAAACAAAGATGGATGGTGGAATTCAGGACGGGAGTTTCGTCCTAAGATACAGGTACATCCAGCTGACGAGCCCCAAATAGGACGAAACGCAAGTCATGGATTGGACTGATAGCCACCATTCATCTTTGATTATGAATTCATTAATATTTAAATCAGTTAGTTCCTTTTATAAATTCTGATGATGTAATGAGAATACAGAGCTAATTAGAAAAAATATAATGTATGTATGCGATACATTTTTGGTAGCACTCACACTCGTCAATCAAGACATTCATATATAAAAATGAATAAAGATCAATTCATTAAAAGTTTAAGTTTAATGACCATAGTTTCACATATTGACATTTTAATAAATAAATAGTTATTTTAAATACCATAAACACAACTACATGATAGCATCTTTTGTTTCAGTTTATCACCTATACAACACAACATGACAACTTATTCAATACAGATCACTGTAGTTTAACGTTGAATCGCTTGTTCTAAATTTTATACATATTAATATTCAATGATGCATACGTCAGGAGATATTAAGATCAACGTAAGTGATGCTTTATGGTTGATAACAGAAGAATTGTTTATTCAAAATAAAATACCAGGCAATTATGTTACAATGCAATATTTTAGTTAAGACCCTTTGTATTAGGAGACTCACCGAACACAAAGGAGCTAATAAGATTTAGAAATTTTAATTAGGGCTAATGAACAAGGTTAACTTAACGATTAAAAATAGAGCTCCGTACAGTCACTAAATAAATAGCTAAATGGCTATGAGCAAATTTCATGAACTTCTCAGTTATTTGTAAAGGTCGAAGTTAACCAAATTGTGAGACAGGTTGAACACAATGGAAAGTAAAAAATTAAAACAATGTAAATAGCTTCTGAAGACAAATGCTTTGTACATAAATTGACCTTGAAGTAAAGGTTCCTTTCCTACTTTCTGCCTTTCTCCACTACCTGGGTCCAAGTTTAAAAGTAGTCCGGAGATACATGAATTAAATAGGAAGTCACTAGCAAGTTTTCGAGTAGAAAACATATCAATTGGAGACGGATGAGCTACGCCAATTATTTTTTGAACGTTTGGAAGTTTATCTGGAGTGGCAGAAGAAACGGTTCGAACAGGCTTAAATAAGAATTATCGGAGCTGTCATGCAGAAAATGTGTTTATCCTAGCAAAACCCTACGTCGAATGAGCTACAAGTAACACAGATTTAGGAATCAATGTTTTTCATGAATTCTATTTTGATTGTTAAATTAGTACGAAGACCTGTTCCATATTGATCTCTACAAACTAAATAACCCTACAAGATTTGAACGTCCTTACAAAAAACTGGATATAAAACACGAATGCTATAGTAATTTTATTTTTCCAAAGAATCCACGTAACTTTAGTTTTGATGATATCATTGAAACCCTATGACAAACCTTTTTAGAACAATCATTTCTTGTTCATATCCGCTGTTAGTGCCTAAAGATAACTAAGGAACTCGCAAATAACAATGTAAAACATCCATGAATAGTGAATACGATTACGATAGTGTTCATGTTCTACAGTACATAGGTTCTATGTTGCTGATGACCAGTTCCATCTACTCCATCTTAAATTTTTGGCTAATATTCCTACTGTTCAATACAAAGAGTGTAGTTGAAAACTAAGTACATAACCTGTTATTAACAAGTGAGTTACATTAAATTTGTATGATTTTGTGAAATAGAAATCTAATCAACTAATGATTTAATGGTAACATGTTTAAACTAATTTAATTTATTTCAATTCACCTGTTATACATATTTAGTAATATAGTTACTATGACCAATATTGAAGTGTACTTAGCTTATTTACAATAATAAGTGAAAAAAAATTCTTGAAAAAAAATCACAAATAATTGAATGATGATAATGATAAAATAAAGTAAATTATTTTTTTCTTTTTACTGTATCCTTCATTCAACCTTGGTCACATGATTTTCTAGATATTGATTCTATTTTGGTAGATCATGTGAGTGTACTTTTCGTGTCAAATGACCTGAAGATGAACTGATTTCAATGAGAACAATAATTTCAATGTTCAATATTTTAGCAAGAAAAAAATCTTTTGATTTTTGTTTGTACAAAATTATTCTTGATAATTTTTCTTTCGTGATTTGGAATTTTATAAAGAAAATTTTTTTAATTTATGCTTCGCATATGTTAGTTACTACAAGAAGTTTCATAGAAATTGTTTGGTTAAAACAAAACAAACAAACATCATGTTTACCAAGAATTTAAATACATAAAGATAATAGATAAATAAATTAAATAGGAATTAAGAAATTTATCAGGTGAACCTTTATCATGACTGATAAATAAAACTAGAAAAACACTTTGACAGCTATTGTATTGACGTTTCGGAATCTTTAACAGTATCTATTCCCTGTTCACAATTTTACACGAAGTTTAACTGTGGAACCATCAGATTTTATTGTAAACACCTATACAATTTAGTAAATGAGTTAGAATCAATGGTGCATACATTTCAATTCATAATGTTAACGGTAATATAATCTAATATATTGATGAGTAACAGTTTTGATTATCATTTGGTTTGTTTCAGAAGTCACACTTCAAAAGATCGTCAGGAAACTTATCTCATAAAGGTGGTCATTAAACAGAACAAGTCTTATTATTTACCAAGGTAATTTTATGGAGAATTTTTCTAAAGGTTGAACATAATCTCGTTCCTTTTCATACATTGTTAATCATTTGTGGATTGATGGAAAAGGCAAACTCAATTATGTATATAAATTAGTGACATTTAATAAAGCAGTTGAATTGACGTCAGATCAAGAACAACTTTAAACACCTACGTATCTATCTTTTTTAAATGTAGAATCTTTTGGGTAGTAAACACTCTTGGTTATTTTAGATATCATACCAAGGACCTGGAGAGTACTACTAAGTTATTAGTTCACGCGACAACTGTCCGGTTAGTTCAATCTCTTTTTAATATTTATCCAATAAATCTTATAAAGATTTGCTTTTTGAGGGATTTTAGAGGTTTAGGTCGAGAACAAGAAGTTGCTTGTGTTTACCGATTAAGAAAAATGAAGTGGGATTAATTCATAGAATAGACAACACATTCTAAAGGTCAAACCTACAGGACTGGTTCGATAAGCATAAGAACTAAAATAAGCGAACAGTCTGACTCTGAATTCTATAAATTTCTCAACAAGCTCAACATGAAATAAAGAAAGACACCTTTCCATGCTTTGAAAGCATCTTGATTTGGAAGGTGCGCAATTTTCATGTCCCAGAAAATCGATGAAAGAGAACAGTTTTTACACATTCAAATTATGTACTTATTTGACTCTTCCTTTTGTGAAACTTTGATCTTTTGATGCTAACTAAGGGTTTGAACGATAAATATAGGTAGACTTAAATGTATTCAATTTGACTGGAAGAATATGATGCATTAGAATAACTGCAAACTACTCATATCATATAGTAGTATAAATAGAACTACAACATTCTAAAAATAATCGTAGTTCACCAGTAAAACATTTTGTCTGTTCATTAAAATTTATCAATGTTAATCAATATATATGTCAAGTATAGTTTCTTTATTAAATTTAACAAATACGTCATGATGAATCATTTTTACTAATAATGTAATGCGTATAATCAACTGTCTAGCAACTCATATCATTTGTAATTAAGTCAAAACAATCTTAAGTACCATTCATTTTGTCTTTCATAATATTGTTATCTGCATTTACTGTGTTCATTTAAAATATTTGTACTACTTAAATTTGATTTTAGCACCAACTATCGAACACTAAAACCAACTGTCTCGTCCTTATTTTAAGACCCTTCATCAGTGGGGTGCATTATCAATCATCAAGTTAAAATAATATTGACTTAAATTATTAACTTTGAAATTTTATGTGTAGTTAAATAACCAAATATATGTTCGCATATTTAGGGCCATCAGTCATTATAAGTATTGAATGAAGAAAAAGAGGGAAAAAGAAACACTTATCTCTCAAAAGACTGAAGTTGGTATTATGACAGTGATAGTTAAGATATGAATAACCAAATAACTGGACCAACTGTTGACAAGAAATGAACAAATCTGAAGGCTCTGATATCACTCAACAACCATGAAATTTAAATTAGATTAAAATACAGTTTTATTCAGGAGATTCTAAGGTTTTTAGAAAAAATTTAAGACACAATAATAAGATTTTGAAATCTACGATGAATAACTAAATGGTGTAAAATTCATAAAGACGTTATTCATCAAACAGTTGGCTTTCAAACAT